ACTCCTCTGACTGCTTGGAAATCCCGGAAATATATATATATATATATATACATACATACATATATATATATATATAGGGCATCTGCAGCAGACATGCTGCAAATGCCGTACATCAAGTAAACCGAGCATGCCGCTAGAATTAGACATCCTGTGCTACCCCAACAACGGCAGCACTGTTGAGGACTTGCTCCAGTGAAACATGAACAAACACGAAAACGCCAGGCGCTGAAATGTGAGGCCTTCCGAAGATAGGGGACCCTAATATAGTACCCTAAATACTAGGATCCTTATTATAAGGACCCCAAAATAAGGTACCCGTAATTCTCGGAAATTCCCATGTACAATCATAGGAGTAAGGCCTGCTGCCTGGACACTGACGGTCGGAAGACTCAGAAGTCAATCAACTGCGGGGCTTAGAATGCAACTGCATACCCGCAATGTACCCTAAACCCTAAACTCTCTAATTAAGTGCCTTCCTAAAACCTAAACCCTAAACCCTAAACTCTCTAAGTGCCCTGCGGAGCCCTAAGTGAAAGCTGAGCCGCTTGGACCCTTGCATAGATCCTTGTCGACCCCCTTCAGGAACTTAAAGGACACCGTTCAGGCTCGTTTAAGGGTTCCTTTCAGGGATACGATAAAGCAACCCATAATCCATGAAAGGGACGAAGTTTCTCGTTCTTCTGAGTATTGAAGGACCCTAAACCCTAAACCCCAAACCCTAAAAGCCTAAACCCCAAACTCTAAACCTAAACCCTAACCCTCAAACCCTATATAGACCCTAAACGCTGCCGAAGTCAAGCGGGGTAAAGATGGCCGGGATCCATGTCACTCGAACAGTCCGGGCCTCAAGGGTTGGGGGGCGGGGGGTGCCTGGAGTGGGTAGTAAGTAGACATATTGTACCCTAAAAGGGATCCTAATTAGGGTTTAGGGTCCGGGTTTAGGATTTATGAATAGATTTATCGCAGAGTACCCTAAAAGGGATCCTAGTTAGGGTTATGAGACTTATAAGTCTGTTAAAATCACTACTAAGCAAGTCCCGACCCTCCAAGCGGGACTTACAAGGACTAACCTGGACCCGAAGAAACCCAGTTTCCGGGGTTCCTGACGACGATCTTATTTTTTGGCACCCTGAGAGGCGTAGGGTTTTTCTTGGGGGGATAGGAATCTCAAAGCGCAGGTGTGACGTTTCGGTTCTGGAGTTGGGGATTTAGGTTCGGTCTCAGGGTAGGGTTCTGTGGTGTCCTACGAAAACCCTGAATTCTTGAGATCTTATCCCTAAACCGTAGACGCCAACCCAGAGCTCCCCCTGCTCTTTTCTGCAGCTTACCACCGAAGACGTCCATGCAGAGGCGACGAATTCACTTCCCAGAGACTCCCAAACCTCTGAATGATTTGGGGTTTTGGGTTTTAAAGCTTAAAGGTTTTGAGTGAAGGTATCTTGCCTAATTCAGGGGTTTGGGAGTCTCTGCGTTTGATACGGGGTATGAAGGAGAACTACAATGAATAATTATCCAGGCCCTTACACTAGGACCTATCTTGGAGATATGTTGCTGACAAGAAGTCTTCTTCGAAGAGGTGTCATTAAAAAACAGGTCAGTTCGGGACATCGGCACTTTGGACAGCTGGAAGTTTGGTGAATTCGAACTTCAAATCTCTTCAGTTTGGGATAGTTTGGGTTTAGGTGGTTAAATCTCCAGGGGGTTAGTTTCTAGGCTGAAAAGGTACTGTCCTTCCGAGTTTCGATTTCCCGATGCCTGACTGACCTGCCAAACGGGGATCAAGTCTACTCACTGCTAGTTTCAAGACCTGCGCTTGCAGGCCCAACAGGATCCGACCCGATCCTTTCGGCTATGTCAGGAGAATAACTGTGCCCACGATCTGGTGCTTGCTTTCGTGCCATCGGCCGCAGGAAAGGAGAACATTGAAACAGGACCAACGCCACCTGGACTCGTGTGCACCCAAGAACTGCTTCTACCCCTCGACCCTCTAATTTAGAGTCTGTTATGGCCCTTTGGTAGGTTATTCTATGTTGAGGTTCAATCCGTAGGCTACCACTTGTTTTCAAAGGACCCTGACCACGAAGTAGAATGTCCAAGAAGCAGAAGTACAATAGCGGTGTAGGTAAAGTGTCTTCAGGGTTTGGTCCTGGTCGGTGGCTCCTATGTCCACAGAATGCAAAAACGCATACTTCTACCACCGGCAACCACAAACCCCAAACACTTGCATACACCCCTCAACTGTAAAAGCCCTAAAACTCAAATCCCGGCCGCCTAAACCGTGAACCCTCAACCCTGCATCTCAAACTTAAGCTGCTTGCAATGTCGGGCGCGATGGCCATGATGCCCAAGTACAGAAGTGATCCACTGAGCCGGTTCGGTGTGTATCCGTAGACCTTTGGCGACTGAAAGAATCATGTAAACTTGGTAAAAATTTAGGCTTCTACATTACAGGCTCTTTATGGGTCTGACAGGGTTCATGGCCCAGGATTGAGGACTGGTACTGTAACAGGGATTGACCCAAGGCTTATTGGATTTAAGGATACCTTAGGAACCCAAACCCACTTTTTTGTAGGTTCTTATTATACACCCTAGTATGGGATCTATAGGGGCCCTACACAAAAGTAGGTTTTGGGTTCTTAAGGTATTGTAAGTACGCCTAGATTGATGTTTACATCATCGTTTGAGTGATACGTGTGTGGACCATTATGTAAGACAACCCATGAGCCAACAGGCTAGAGCGGCTTCAGAACCAAACATGTCTACGCTTTGCAAAGACAGCCTTTTGAAGCTGCTGCAGCTCTGGTTCAACATCCTCAGGGTCCAAGTACTCCTTATAATGGAGTCTTTGGGGACTTGTTAAAAGGTATCAAACACCATAAACAAGGACTACTTGGACCCTTGGACCCGTAGGGACAAAGCTACAGTTCCAGAGTTCATGTTCATGCGAGTACATGCCCTGAAAGAAAAGTCTTTTCGCTTTACCGCGGAGTTTGCCCGACGTCTGTTGAATGCTTCACTAGCAGAAAGTGTCCAGCGCAACATACGTTGGACGTTAAACAAAGGGATCCGGCTCCTTTAATTTATGGGCGTGATCATATGGAGGATCCCTATGTTGAAGGTCTGTATTGGGCCCCGTAGTTTCTAAAACCTCAAAATACCTTGAGCAAAACAAGTGTTGCTGCCGGTGCAGCCTCAGCACTACATCGTTCTCCAGTGATGCAGTCAGGCCGATCACAACGGCTTCGATCACCACGGCAATCACCGAAACCAAGACATCGAGACATCCCGTACAGCATCGGCTTCGCAGATGAAAAACGATCCAGAGACCAGTTTGGGCAAACACAGGTCCAACCACCAGCCAATGCGTAAACGCCTGGACTGCACCAGCAATCCGCTCATCGTCTGTCTCATAGGTGAAGCTGCGGTCAAGGAAAAACCACAGCGCTGGGGCATTCAGCTGTACCATGCGGGAGTATGAAAAACCTTCCTTGGTTTAGTTTAGATTTTAATATAGGGGCCTTAATATAGGGGCCTTTCATAATTAGAAAAGTGCCGGGAAAAGGCATAGTACGGACCCTCAAGGCATAGCATCGGCAAGTATAGACTCGATATTCATTCAGGCACGACGAGGGTTTTGCTAGCGACATTTCCATAAGCACAGCCATACATGCGCAAACGCCCAAATAGATTCATGAAGCCCTGGGGGATCCCCTTCGCACTGAACCTGGACCCGTGACCTCCCCCAATTACATATATATATATAATATATAT